CCTATTCGTTTGACAATATAGAGATGGTAAGTACGAGTTGTCAAACACTTGGGAAACGAGAATGATTATATATTAAAATATCTGCTACGAGTTAACTAATTAAATAAGCAAATTGGGGGTTTGTTATGATTTTTCAAGTTTAGAAAACTTAAAACATCTACTTTTGAATAGCTATTAAAGTCAAACAATTAATTCGACTAAAAACGAGAAAATAACGATTGTTGAAACAAAATTTAAAGAGAACTTCTATTTAGGTTCGATTCACTTATTACCTATGGTTGATTCTAATGATAGTTTAATAGATTTAACTTTGTTGATTACCAGTTCCTATTATGACAAGTAAAACAATAATCAAGTGAACAAATAATCATATAAATCAGTGTTTAGTTCGAATTATGCAAGAATTCAATTATAAACTGATATTAATGATAATAATAGCAATTATATACATGAATGGTCATCATATATAAGCTCACATATTAAATTTTCTAGCTTTTCTATTTAACCCTAGGCTTATGGTCAAAATCCTAGTCATACAAATTGAATGTTCATAAATTCATATGATTCAAGCACATCAAGATAGATTGATCATCTAATCCTAATAATACTCAACAATAAATAGAAAATATTGAAACTTTAACACACAAGGATCTTTAAAAAGTAAACATAACTAATAATCAACTAGATTAAAATCCAATATCATAGAATCAACACATAAAAGGCCATTAAGGAAATCCGTTTTAACATCCATTTTCCATACCTCATAATCATAAAAGACGGTTATGGAAAGGAGTATCCTAATAGACTTAATCTTAGCTACTAATGAGAATGTTTCCTCATAATCAATTCCTTGAGTCTGAGTGAAACCTTTTGCCTCCAACCTAGCTTTGAATGTGGGAAAGCAAAAAGATTTGCGCGGACAAGGTTTGAAAACTCAAACCTTGAATTAACTTAAGATCAATGTTTGATGCTAATGATTATGGTCCAGTAAAGTCTGGTAAACTAGTCTTGTCTCGAAAATTAAGAAGTTCAAAAAAGTGCTCAAAGATTTTTAAATAATAAGCATGAATAGTGTAAAGAGATACAAGAACAATAAGAATGACAAAGAAAATGATTGACTGAATGATTCTTGGTATTGACGAGAAAGGTGAATGTCTTCACTCATGCGTGTATTGAATGAAGTTTACATCTCCTTAAATAGACAAGGAGACAAATTCCATAAAGTGCATGGACCAGAAGACATCTGCAGATCAACAGACTGACGCAGCCACTTCTGTTGATCTTTTCGCATGTACCGTACTATAAAATAATTACTACAACACAAAATAGTACTAGGAAAATTTAATGCACATTACAGACTCAAAATAACAAGAAACAAAAGATGCATCTCTGACTGATCTTCACTTCAGAATCAGTCCCACTTCATAAGACATCTCACTAGAATTCTTTATCTCGGATTGTTAAAGGATCACTTTTTCATGTATCACCAATCTCCCCCTAAGTGATTTTAGCAATCATTTGATTCATCACTTAGCTTCATCAAACACAAATAGATAAGCACTTTGGAGCAAGCTTCGAACCTCAATGTACCATTTGAGATGCTCAATAAATTTTTGTTTGACATGTTCGGAAGAATCACTCTTAGCAGCATTAGAGATGAACTTTTAAAGAATCTTGGTAGGAATAAGATGTTTGTCAAGCACTCTGAAAAAATTCCTTTTGATTGGTCTTTTTCCTAAGGTAGATGTAACCAAGTTCTGGTTCTTCGATTGGTCCTTCTACTATGATCTGGGCTTCAGGAAGCTCAGTGGTGATCTTGGTTAAGTGATTTTCCATTCTGAAGAGATGAGCAGACTCTACATCGGATCTACAAAATTCACCAATGTAGTCCTTTAGGAAGCTGATTGCAGCATTATAGGATCCAATGCTTGACTCACAGGTTTAACGATCTCGGACATGAACAACTAAAGTGATAATTGATGGGTTTTAGACAAACAATCCTATGTGTGCATGCAACCCTAGATATGGATCTATGTTTTCACTATTAGTTACACAACATTATGAACACATGAAGAACCCTAGTATGCTCCTAGTAATTTTGAAATTCATAAAGGAGAAAGGATTACATACCTCTTGTTGTTATGTTGTAATAACAACTTGTATCTTGAATCTTCTTGTCTTTGAAAGCAAGTACCACAAGTGTAGTACCTCTAATGGCTCACAAACACCAAAAGCAAATGGAGAGGCAAGAGAGAGAGAGGGGAGAGGCGGAAAATCGGTTCTACGAACTCTAGGGATCAAGTGGCCGATTTTCCTATGCCAAGGGGTCCTTTTATAGGTGTAGGGATTAGGGTTTCAGTCCTTATCCTTATCTGGTTGCTTAGCCACCAAGCAGCCCAAAGGATAATTCTACAACCCTTATCTTGGACGAATTCTAGGGCCTTATCTCCTTGAATTCGTCTACCCTGTCATATAGGCATCCTTTGCTCTACTTTGCAACTATCACATAATTACAGTTCAGTCCCCATAGTTCAATTGACTTCTTTTGATCACAAAATTAATTCTTAATGAATTCTTGACCAATATTAATTAAACAAATATGATTTCTCTTTTAATATATTATTCTTATAATATATTAATAAACCATAATAACCTATTTCTCTATTATTTCTCTAGTCAAGTTGTTTTGGTGAAGGCAACCCAAAAGGACCATGCACAACCGGGTCAAGTACTTACCAAATATGGTTACGGGCTTAGACACTAATCCAATAAGAATATCATTGGGATTCATCGAAGGAAAGTCTTCATCTGAGATATGAAAAAATAGTCCAAATCAAACATACTTTGAACCTTATTATTGTATCCAACGGTCTTGGTAATCCTTACGGTCCGTGTGGTTCTTTCTCTTGCCACAATTAACAATTGGCATTTGCCTCAACTTGATGTTAAAAATGTGTTTCTATACGGCAGTCTAAGTGAAACCGTTTACATGGAACAACCATCGAGCGTCAAAAATCCATCCGCTCCCAATCATGTGTGTTTACTTAAAAAGGCCCTTTGTGGGCTCAAATAAGCCCCGCGAGCTTGGTTTCAACGTCTTAGCTTGTTTCTTGTGAACCTAGGTTTTGTTTCAAGTAGAGCCGACACTTCATTATTTGTTTATAAACAAAACTCGGTTGTTCTCTATCTACTTGTCTATGTAGACGACATAATTCTAACAGGAAGTAGTGAGACGGTTATTCAAAACGTCATCAGTCGTCTTCATCATGAGTTTGCCATCACATATTTAGGCCTCTAAATTATTTCTTGGGGCTAGAGGTTTCTTCCATCAAAAATGGACTCTTCTTAAATCAATCTAAATATGCATATGATATACTCTCTCGTGCAGGTCTTCTTGAAGCAAAACCCGTAGGTACACTGTTGAACACCACTGATTATTTCACCACTAAACGATAAAGAATGAGATTCTTTTGGTTGCGGGTTTGAGGTCTCACCTCCTGTAATCATCGATTGCTTTGATTGAATCAACCACAACACTGATTAGATTCGTCTTCTTCTGATTCTAAAATTTCATCAACGCTCTGAAAATAACATAACTCAATAAACACAGTCAATGCGAAACACGCAAGTCTTTATTAGAGAACACTACACAAAAGCTCTAATTGATTGTGATTACAATTATTCCCGTCATACCCAACATGGTATCTTTATATATACAACCCAACACGTTTGTATATATTTAGGAATCTAGTTTTAACTTAAATCATATAATTATCTAGAATAGACCCTCTATTCAAAGAATAGATAATTATCTCATATTTAAACTAAACTGATAACTTTGACTGCACTTCAATCTCTTATGTTGAACTCGATCCACGCTTCATGCCACAATCGGATAGATAACTCGCCAACAGAAATCCATATGTAAAAACTTACAACTTACAACTAGCGATTCCATTCATGTAACATTTAACTTCCTACATCTACTTTAGGGCCTTGAGGAAAACCAATAATTAGACATACATGTCAAATATGGACTGTGACTTCGGCTTAACAACACCAAAAAATCAAATCATTCTTAAAACGTTGTAAAACCCACAATTGTTAAGAACGGTCACATCCAACACAAATTAAACACCTACTTTGAGTTTAACTAGGAAAAGGACCCATGCTTCGCATGGGTCGGAAAGGTTTTTTCAGACATGTTTGTAAAGAAATAAAACTAAAGTGGCAAAAATATGAATTGGAAAAGGTTAAGGAAAATATGAATTGGAAAATGTTAAGGCAAAAGTGTAAAGAAATAAAAGTAAAGTGGCAAAAATATGAATTATGAAAAGTTAAAAGTGGCAAAAGTATGAATTGAAAAAGGTTAAGACAAAAGTGTAAGAAAATAAAAGTAAAGTGGCAAAAGTATGAATTGAAAAAGGTTAAGGCAAAAATGTAAACAAATAAAAGTAAAGTGTCAAAAGTATGAATTGAGAAAAGTTATTGTTAAAACTATATATATATAGATATATATATATATATATATATATATATATATAATATATATATATATAAAATATGGTCCTATCTCTCAAAAATAGAGGTCACATGTAACTAATCCGGAGACGGATATCCCTACAACACACATTTTAATTTTTAAATTAATAACATGTTCTTGTGACAAAAATCACAAATGACAAAACCATCAACATGAAAATATGAAAAATATTATAAATATAAACATATCACTAACTTAAAATAAATAACATGTTTTGTCACAAAATCATTATCAAACATGAAAAATATCGACGAATATTATACACACTAAAAGCATAGACAAATAAAAAAATTATCACTAATCGAAAAGAACTTAATTCAAAAATAATAATAGAAAAAGAAAAGAAGATTAGAATTATTGGGGGAGACTAATAATAAAATACTACCATTGGCTTATATATATCCTTCCCTATTCCATTTCTTCTACACATATTCCAAGCGACCACACACTATCCATCATGTTTTCCCCCGTATCTACTCCCAATTCCCTCCGCCTCCGACTACCGCCGCGACAAGCACTTCACTCCACCACCGGCACTCTACCGTCTCCAACTTCTCCTAGCATCCGATCACCTCGCACTTCACCTCCATCCGCCACCCTTTACGCCACCGCCGAGACCCTCTACGTTGCAACCTCTCCGACGGCCGTCATTTCTCCTCCGTCGCTCTACGAAATTCTGGGCATCTCCATGGGAGCCACCGAAAGTGAAATCAAAACAGCGTACAGGCGGCTAGCGAGGACTTCACATCCGGATGTGAAGGACTCGTCTGGAGAGGAGTTCATGAAGATCAACGCCGCCTACTCCACCCTCTCAGATCCCGATAAACGGGCGGATTATGACCGGAGATTGTTCCGAACGCAGCGATCCCGATCATTCTCCAGTGTTACTCCGGCGGCTTCGTACTACGGATTTAATGGTTATAGTGGCCGGAATTGGGAAACAGATCAGTGCTGGTAGTGTTGATCTTGATCATCAATTTACCATTGATTGATCCCATGAACGGATGTATATAAAATATATTACTTAATCAACGATTAGAGTGTACTAATTAATCGATTAATCTTTAGGATATATAATATATTAGTAGATATTGTATGAAGAAGGCTAAGATATCAATGTTGTTGTTTTTTTTTTTTTTCTTTCATTACTGTCATTTCCTTTTAATTAATGAACGGTAAGTTATATATATACATGTTTGTTTTCGATAAACAAAAAGTGATAGTGGATTTTTTTGTTTACCAATTAGTATCTACTTATTTTTTTTTACCAGTTCATTAAAAATTATATACACAAATTTATAACAAAGTTTGGATCAGGCTGGTCCAGAATGGTGGCGATAGGGACGAATTTTATGAATCACAAATTTATAAAGCTTGACATCATAAATTTGGTTCAAACTATTTTAAACACAAATTTTATGAATCACAAAAATTAAATCATGTGGTTTTTTATTAAACAAATTTTGGATCATGTCCTTTTCTATTATTATAAAACCCATTTGCATCATAAAATTTGGATTATGTTTTTGGATTAAACTATTTTATTTACGAACTTCACATCATCAAAAATTGTATTACACAATTTGGACCGTATGTTTCTTTAATCCTAAACTTTTGCATGGTAAAATTTTGAAGAATTTCATATTATTCAAAAGACCGGTCATTTTTATATACTTTCATACTTAATTATTCCGATAATGTTTTATATACCTTTCGCACTTATGACTATTAGAAGCATCTGTTAGCAATTTATGACAATTACGCCGTTCATATTTTATATATATTTTTCGCACTTACGATATTGCCTCTATTACAAAGTAGACTTTTTATTATTTAAGTAGCTATAGTAATGAACCATATACTCGTTCTATTCAAACAAAATATCAAGCATCTCATCTTTTCTCTTCTCTTTTCTTCTCTTCTTTTTGTCATGTGACACTCTAATAAAATTCTTTAATATTATGTCACGTGTCAGTCATGTGTCACTCTAATAAAATTCTTTAATATTATGTCACGTGTCAGAAATACATATTATTATATTAGACAATTTACTATCACAATTAATGACGTTAAAGTTTTAAATAATAGAATTTAATTTTTTTATAGAAACATTTATTTTTTGTAATTATATGTTAAATTTGAAGTTATAACTAACTTTAAAATTTTAGTATATCTCTTAATTAATAAGTTATTTAAAATTATTTACTCAAAGTAGTTGATTAATAATTATGAATATTTACTATAAAAATTTAATTAATTTTGTAACCATAGTTTCCACGGGTTATAAACTAGTAACTAATATAACATGGCATACTCTATATTGTAGAAGCATTTGTTGGGAATCTATGACAACTACGTTGATCATGTTTTATATATTTTCCCTACTTATAATATCGTTTCTATTTCTTCATTTCTTGTTACATAGCTATTTACTTCTTTCCTTTCATTATTTTATATTTTTCTTGAGTTTTCCACTACCTTTGTTATTTTTGCAAGTATTTTTACTTATGCGAGTAGGAGGTAACATTGTAGCATTTTCTTTTCACATCACGCCCATAAAAGACTCATCAACGTTTGTGTTTTTTCATTGGCTTTGCATATTCAGTTTCCTTCTCAATATTTTCTGTTATTCACTTATATTGATCTCCAACTAACCTTAACTTTTCAAATTAATTACCAATCAATCAATGCGGAAATCAACGGGGAAATAGATGCCCCTTATATGTTTCTAATTTTCATCTTTTTAGATAGTAAAAAAATCATTGATACAATTAGCCTTCAAAATGTAGATGTTGATCATTGAAAATCAAATTGAGATAAATTAAACCTTAAAGTCTCAAAATTGTAATCATTTAACTATCAAGCAGGTTTCATCTAGTTTCCAGTTGCAAATTGCCATGTGGGTTAACGTGGCATTGACATGGCGTCGTAAGTGGTCTAATTTAAACGAAACAATCTAGTAGTGGTCCAAAATCAGTATAACATTTCTTCTTTTTTTTTTTCAAAATCAAGATCCTCTATCTACTCTCTTTCTCTCTCGTTTGCAAAATCGACTTTATTGAACGATATTCATTAATCGATTTTGGGAAAGAAATGTATGTTGTGGGTGTGGATTTAAAGTAAGTGGCAAGACACCATGGACTGATTGAAACCTTAGTAGGAGGTTTATGACTTGTCCCAACTCCATCCTAATTTTTGTGAATAATGTTGATTTTGTTGTTATATGTTTGATGTTATATATTTGTTTTTGTAGGAGGAAAGTAGTAAGTGTATTTTTTTTAATGGCTTCAAATTAAATTATCCTGTACATGATATAAAATATGGATCATTAAAATGAATAATAAACTTGAGGAGTGTAATCTTATAAAATAATCAAGCATCAATGTGGAAGAGATGGAAGCATACTTTAAGGGAGAAGTTAGTATTAGTTATTGAGGAAAAAAAATAGGCTGAAAGGCAAGTTGTATATGTCCAAGCTGTTGAATCATGTAATCACAACGGTGATTGTAATTTTAATTTTCTTATTGGTGTTTGGAAAAGAGTGATGGTACATTGTCATTTAATGTATTGTAACTGGTTGGTTATGTTTAGTATTTGGTTGGTTAGGGTTTGGTATTTGGTTGGTTAGACATTGGTATTGTAATAAATTTGTTAGATTTGTTATTGTAATAGGTTCATGTACTATGATATTGTAATAGTCAAATAACAATTTTCAATAGTAAATTGGTATTAATGGTTCATTAGTTAGACATCAACAAAATAAGTTGTTATAAATGGTTCTAATGGGTTGGACATGAACATAGTAAATTTGTATTAATGGCTCAAAAGATAGACATCAAGATAAAAAATGATTATAAGTTGTTCAAGAGTTGGACATCGACATAATAAACTGTTATAAATGCTTCAAAAGTTAGACATCAACATAGTAAGTTGTTATAAATGCTTCAGAAGCTGGACATCAACATAGTTAGCTGCTATAAATGGTTCAAAAGTTGGACATAAACATAGTAAGTTTCCATAAATGATTCAATGTTAGGCATCAACATGGTAAGTTACTATAAATGGTTCTAATATGTTGGACATGAACATAGTAACTTATTATTAATGTTTCCAAAGTTACACATAAAAACATGATATTTAACTTGATATGTTTTATATAACCTAACCAATTCAAAACATGAAATTTATAAACCCTAATTACAAAAAACTCATAGTAAGTTGCTATAAATAGTTCCAAGTACGATAAACCAAACATGACATACATAACATTCAAAAGACAATGTTTATGAATAAAGACTACATATGTTTGTGTTTATGTGTAAACATAGACCCAAATATGGATAGAATAATAACCCAAATTTACAAAAAACAAAAAACAAAAAAAAACCCTTACCCAAGTGTTTTGAAGTGTAGTAAGTGTCATACAATATGATATACAATTTTCCCCTCTCCTAGTCAAACTACTTCAAAAGTAATGATATTTTAGTTGTAGATCTTGATCCACCATTCCTTGTTATCAAATTGCATTTAATAATTCTCTCTGACTTTGATCCCAACTTCTTGATAACTTGAGTATCAGGAACTATATCAATTTCTTCACCTTAAGGCCCATCCAGATGATTTCTAATTTTGCATCAAATCTTTAACTCCTACTAGGTTCAACGTTGAATAATGCATTGTCGACAGGTTCCAAATTCACAAGTTATTACAACGATTAGGGGTGGCAAATCGGGCCATCGTGTCGTGTTTTTGCCTGACACGACACGACACGACACGACACGACAGGGTTTTAAGTAACACGAACACGACACGACACGATGTCGTGATTTTTTAACTAACATGAAAACGAACCAATTAAAAAACGACAAACACGACACGACACGACACGACAAAGATAAATTAAAATAAAAATTAGTTTATTTAATTAATACTTAATCATATATAACACGACAAACACAAAAAACACGACATACAAATGCTAAATCGTGTCAATTTCGTGTCAAATTTTGAACACGAACACGACACGACGCGACGTCGTGTTTTTTACACTTTACATGAACACGACACGAACACAAATTCGAATTTTAGTTTCGTCCCAATTTCGTTTCATTTCGTGTATTTTTGTCGTGTTGTGTCGTGTCATCAATTGCCACCCCTAACAACGATGCAAACTTAACAACATCATTATATGGCTCCGTACTTCCCTTAGTAAAATGGGGTCATTGAGAGACAAAATTGCATTGTGGTTGAGATGGAAAGAAGCAATATGAAGAGCTTGAACTTACATAAACATTATAGGGTGAAGAAGTATGTCACACGATATACATACTCAATCGAGTGTCGACAAAGGCACTCAGATGATGCAACACGTACACCATAAGAAAATTGGTAGGAAGAAAACCCCATCTCGAACACCTAAAGTTTTTTGGTTCTGTATAAAAAAAAGACAAATGTTAATTTACGAAAACCTGATAAGATGATCAAAAGATTGGTGTACATGGGCACTAAAATGGGTATAATTAAAAAAGTTAACCTCGACATCAGAAGAATTCATGTAAGTGGATATATTTTTTAGGAAAACAAAGCTTGGAATTGGGATCAACCGAACTCATTCAAGAAACCATAAGAGATACAATTGTTATCGTGAGGTACACTTCACCAAATAATACAAAAACACAAGTCAATGACTTTACGTTACCTGAACAGTTAGAAAACGAGAATGAGTATGTAGACGAGACATAAAACCAACCATTTTCATCAAAATCAATACAAAGACTAATAGTTCAATTTCATCTCCTTTCAAACGACATCAGCTAGCTCATTATGTCTACCAACTAAAGCTCAAACCATACTAGTGGTGAAACTTCTCAAAGATATCAGTTAATAACTTATATTTATGAAGAAGTTGATGAACTACTATTCTTGCATGATGATGATGAAAAAAAATCTTATTGTGTG